ATAATAATAATAATAATAATAATAATAATAATAATAATAATAATAATAATAATAATAATAATAATAATAATAATAATCGTTGGTTAGATTTAAAATAGACAATGGGCAATCCATGATATTTTTTGTTCACTTATAGTACTAAAAAGTTTATACATCTTTCGAGCTCTTTCAGTTCTTTTTCGCAAGGCAATGTCTGATATTTCTTCAGGAATTCGGTTCCTAACCTCGGCTTTTACTAGGGCGCGGGCTCGCTCTTACCGTAATCTTTTTCTGCTTTTTGTAATGATTATATACGGCGCTCTCCAAACACAAAATAAATCATAATAACAACACTGTTTACATCTTTACTTTTAGATTCGGCGTGATCAATCTTATTGTAGAATTGTAGAGGTTTCTCCCTAACGCGTTTAAGTGTCATTTTGGGCTTCGGCATCCGGCATATCTTGATCTTCCGCAATTGAGAACCAAATTCGAGTTTTTTTTCTGGTTTTTTATCGCATAGCGTAATGTAAAATACATTAAAAACCCTCAATCCGTTTGTAAACAATTTATTACTGACTTGAATATAAACCAATTTAAATTTGTGACTTTTTGTCAACATTTCGGTCATTGAAACATACCCATGATATCCTAAATTTATTCTCCTTGCAGATTATGAAGATGTTTTTATCCATCATCGACTTTGTCCATTCCATCATACAATATTTTACCCCACTTTTTCGTTGCCTAAACATGCTTCATTACTTAACATAATAAGATAGTAAATGGAATCGATAAACAGCTCGCGCATAATATAATCTCAACTATCCCATTGATACGTTCATTAATTTAATATACCGTAAACTGCCATGAACAAGGGCCTCCCCTATCCCCTGTAAAATTTTTTCTCCCCTGCTTTCAAGAGATTCTGGGAAGATTACTGGTGTCATACTACTTTTCTAAAATTCGTAGAATGTGGCATACGTGTAGAGACTTTTAATCTTCAGAACATTTTATACAGATTGGCTAAAGGCAGGGGAGAAAAAATTTTTACAGGGTAGGCCCTTATTCATGGCAGTTTACGGTACTAACATTAACATTCGAACAAGCTTTGGATACATAACCCGTTTACAATAAAAACAAAGCTACCGTTGCCCTTGTATAACCGCTTCTACCATGCAAACTAAAGCCAAACAATATCTAAACAAAATACTATCACATTATAAACATTCTAAAAACAAAACACGTCAACCCTAAAATTCCCCCAGACAACAGATACCAAACTAACACAAACTCTGCGAAGCGTATCTCAAGCATCGCTAGTTGCTTACCAAAATGGAAATTACAGTTTTACAAAGATAACGCTTAAGGTGAAAGGCAAGCTTAAAATTATTCATGTTTAGTACACGATTGCTTTCGAATAGCGGGTTTAATTTAAACAAAACTTGCGTCTAAGATAATCGAATTCATATATCGATTATAATCTGATATAAAATTAACAACGTTAGCTGTTTATAAATAACTTTTTCTTCATGTCAACATAGTAGCTATATTATATTTATAACTGAAATTTAATTGACGTTTCATAACTGTTTCTCGGTTTAGGCAATCTCCAGTAGGTAAGAGTATACTAGAATATTTACTCTCCTTCTCAAACGAGATAAAAATTTTGATAAAAATACCGAGACTAATGACAGTAAAACCGTATATCAGCAACCATTATTTCTCGTCATAGTTGGTAAACCCATATGTGTATTTGTTGCGATAATAAAGCCCTTCAGAAAACTGACTGACATTTTATTCCGTATTCGTCTGTTGAAAGTGAATATATTTGGCTAACTCACTCAGAACGCTCGCGCGCATTTTTCGTTGTTTTCAAGGCATAACAGCATTATTTTAACGTCGTAGCGACTAGCGTAGTAGACGTTGTTAATTTGCGTTCAAACGAACAAAGTTTTTTCCAACTCATCCACATTGTTCCAAATAATATGGTTTAAATTTATTTGAACCCTAAAAGATGATTTATTATTCCATAATAAACACTTTAATGTTATGAATAACAATAAATCCAAACCCTTCATCCTACCCATCCAATTGTTCTTCTACTTTCATCTCTAGTTATTTAATAAAACAAACGAAAAAAAAAACTAACAAATTTTGTTTGCTAACAAACAGAAAATAAACCGAATTTCGTTTACAACAAACGACTAAACGAGATTTGTTTTATAACAAAACAAAAGAGAACTAAGCAACATTACAACCTGGAGTACCACCAGGACAGCGAATTCTTCCAGCATCAGCTATTCCTACTACCGTCGTCGCGGCATCACAGATCTCGGACAAATCTTGAGTATTGGCCATAAAGCATCCAAAATTTACGCCCGGCTGCCCCCCATTCAAGAAGTACCATCCAGACCATTGCGCATCAGTAACAATACATGCATTACAACACTCTTGGGGGGTGAAAAAGGCATCAAAATAGCCAAAAAGTGTGGCAACAATCTTGCCATCCCATCCTGGAGCACCGGGAGCTGAACAACATGGTGGAGGAGGGGGAGGAGGAGGTGGTGATGGAGTAACACATGCGGTTGTTTGTAAATGTGCAAGTGGCGGTTGTTATGCAATGTTTGCCGTTGCCAATATGATTACCACAATTTTGATGTGCTTCTCGACAATCCGGGCAGTGGGAAGGGGCGTGAGGGGGCAAGTCGAAGAAGTCGTAGTGGCTATTGTTGTAGTGGTGGTCGTTGTAGTTGAACACGGTTCAGCAGCATCAACAATAATACTCGATGCCAGCAATACTAATAGGCAGAAAAGATCGGTCGAAGAAAATTTAAGAAATTGTCTCTTTATTACGAGTCAGGTTGTAACCGGATTAAAAAAAATACGGGTTGTATTTTGTAGAAACGTAAACGATAGCATATTTATGAAAGTTTTCTCGTATTTTTAATACATAAATATTTCCGACAGGGAGTTACACTGCGTGTATAATTTGTACTGTGACAGTAAAACTTCCACAAATGCAACGCCTTGGCATTGAGTGCTATGTTGCATCTATGGGGGTTTTATTACTTTCCGTCGGGTCAAATAAAAAGTTGTCGCAAACGCACAGTATAGTGCTGTATATGGTGCGCAAAAGACTGTATTTAAATACAATTTTTTTCGTATTTAAATACATTTTTTTCTGTATTTTAATACACCCTTTTAAATGACACTTTTGAAAAACGCGGAATACTGTTTATGGTATATGCTATTCCGTATTATATGAACTACAGTCGACCCTCCATGAAAGAACCCTCCATAAAAAAACAACCTCTCATAAAGAACATTATTTCATGGGACCGATGCAATTTATTAGTAAATTTCCCTTTATAAAAGAACAACCTATAAAGGAACAAGAACATAGTTCTGAAAACCGCCTATATTACATGTACCTCCATATAAGAGCATTGCATGTTGATTGGTTGACAACATTTATTTTATTATTATTATTATTATTATTATTATATAATCGTTTTGGGAAAATTAGTCTAACTAGAAAACAGAGCGACCGATTAGAATCTGGACCTCATTGTTCTCATAGTTACGTAACTTTTATTAAAAAGCCATCACGACACGAAACATTATTATATTGTCACTCTAATATAGAAAAATTGCAGTTATTTAGGAGAAGGTTATATGATTATGAAAAAATGTATGAAAATTCAAAAAAACAGACCAGCATTGATTGCTCAATAAATATTATAAAATATTTTGTTATATAATTTTAAATAACTCTACAATAGAACACCTCCACCTCTATGATAGAACACAATTTGACTGTCCCAACCATGTTCTTTTATGGAGGGTCGACTGTAGATGAAAAACTTAATATGCATTATGTAAAGTAAGTTCTGTGTCGATACTTAAATTACAGGCATATAGTATTCATATGTAGCAAAAACGAAACATATTTATACTAATGCATAGATAGTAAAGCAATATTTATAACAATTATTAATATCGAAATATATATTTAAGGCATCGGCACAGTTTAAACTATATTCACAAGTATTGAGATACGTTGTTCATTAGAATACAATTATTACGACGCCGCCAAATCACTTCCTCGACATATTAATTGAATGTATATAATGTAACACATGTCAAAGTGCAGAATAATAGTTTTGCAATTGTAGTAGTTGATGCCCTTAGTCGTAACCTTATTTCGTAACTTCGCTGTTCTTCGTTCGATCATGAAGAAAGTTTTATCATATAGTTTACGCGATAATATTACAGTATTAATATTAATGTTTTACCCAAATTGCAATCCGACCCAGTTCGAAATACCTTGTCTAAATATCATGTGATGCTATCGAAATTAAAATGTGCTTATTTCGAATTGGATCAGATTGCGCGATTTGACAGAACATTAATATTATTGGTTTAAATCGAAGATTCCTATATTTAGCGGTGTAAACAATCTCGCTATTCAATTGCCGATCATTTTCTTGCTGTATGTAAACAAATATGTAATCGATCGCATATTATTTAACTAGCAATGTTTGAGATATGTTTGGTATCTTTTGTAGGGAAGAATCTATTTTAATATAATCCACCTTTTTTTCCATAAAAACTAGACTCTGTTTTTATTTTTCGCTGCATTGATTTACTGCTGATTATACACAGTAAAACTCGATAAGTCGGACACTCGATAAGTCGGACAAAACCACTCAACCTTTATTTTTTATATCTAAAATTTATTCGGTAAGTCGGACAACATATATAAACTGTCGTTAAGCTGTAAG